GTCTGCTGTTTGAAGTTCATCGTAACACAGTCTGCTGTTTGAAGTTCATCGTAACACAGTCTGCTGTTTGAAGTTCATCGTAACACAGTCTGCTGTTTGAAGTTCATCGCAACACAGTCTGCTGTTTGAAGTTCATCGTAACACAGTCTGCTGTTTGAAGTTCATCGCAACACAGTCTGCTGTTTGAAGTTCATCGTAACACAGTCTGCTGTTTGAAGTTCATCGTAACACAGCTCACTCTTTTTCATGGAAGTATACAGGTTTCACTTGAAAACAAGCACTTTGGACCAGGCAATGCTGGTGTTGTCCGGGCGTCTGAGTGTTTGACTTGACATCTCACTCTTTTTGTTGTCGTTTGAATTCTTTATTCTCATGATGGCACCATCGCCAATAAGAGGTTGTTGTTGTTGTTGAATTTTTTCTCACAACTGTTGTTGTTGTGGAAATATATAGGCTACGCAGATTGAGTAGGTTTCTTACTTGAATACGAGCACTTTTCAGTTTTCACCAGGCAATGCTGGTGTTGTCTGAGTCACGGTCTGAGAGTTTTGACTTGAGCAGCAAGCAAGCAGTGGCGGGCAACTCACCGGTGTGATGCTGTTCCTGGAGCGTGCGCTGCCCGACGGGCCCAGCATGGACGGCTGGAATCCCATGTCGCCCAGCGCCTGCGCTATCTTGTTGTTGTCGACGCCGCAGTTGCGCGGCACACGCTCATGACAGCGCCGGTGCACGTTCATCTTGCATTCTGCCAGAGAAGATAAGTCAGTGAACAGTGTGTTGGCACTCGAGGAGAAGATTAGCGAGCAGCATGAAGTGAATGGAAGAGTAGACATGGCGGAAATGGACCTACAGTAGACGCAAAATTAGGGATATCTCTGCAGTGTACGGGATTTCTTCTCCGCGTCACAATGCACAATGCACACAATGCGTGTATGCATTCAGCATGCATTGCTATGTAAGAAATCAACATCTTGGAGTACAGGAGAAGGACATTTGTCGGTAGGTGGTGGCCATCTATACAGCATGCACTGTGTTTACAGCTGACACTGAGGACTGGACAAGCAGCGGCTACTTAGTATTAATATTGCCTGGCCAGAACACTCTTCTGCTATCCCAGTACTTACCTGTACATCGCATGCCCTGCCGGATCAGCCCGTACAGCAAGGAACCGCAGTGGTCGCAGAACGTCGGCTTTCGATAGTTGTACACCTCAAAGCGGTGCGGAATGTTCACGTTGAAGCGACTTTGAAGGTCCGACGAGTCATCCTCACCCTGTGTGAAGAAATGGGCATTGACGCCACGATGGCCCATATTAAAGTTACCACCGTCAAACTCACACGTGAACTTCTAGAAATATTACTCCATAGTTTTCACAAGATTCGCAAAAGAAGTGAATTCTCTCCAACAGCCAATCCAAAATCTGGTTGTGTTGAACAGATCAAAAAGAGCTACATACAGAGAAATTTCAGTGGCATGCCGAGACCAAAGAACATGCATACTTAAAGGGGAAGTCCGGTGAAAAATTTAAATTTCAGGGTCGGTAGAGTTTCGGGCGCTGAGTCGAATGGTGTTGGTCCCACGTGTCTCCGACAAAGCGTTCTCGAGATATTTCCGTTTGAAAAACTGAGTTTCGGGGGCTGCGCCATGACGTTATGCGGCCGCGCCACACCCTCTGCAACGTCATAGCGTGCAGCTAGGTCAAAAGGAGTGCGTGAAAGCAATAGTGTCAGTGCTATTTCAAATGATTTGGCGACTGATATTAGGTGGTGCAAGCGACCCCGAAGACCTGTAACTCCTTGTGAGAGTAAAGGATGCAGCCATGGCTGACCTTCATGAGTTCGGTCTGGGGCTGAGAACCTCGGTATTCAGCTGAAGAAATGGCCGCGCGGGCCGGTCAAGAGTGAGCGCTACTGAGTTTCCGACTGATGAAGAAGCAGCAGCTATTGCAGACGAGGCTGATGTAATTATCAGATCGCTGGAGAGCAGGGTCGCCAAAATGGAGAAGAGTGATGCGAGTGCTCTAAATGTTGTTCCATACCGATTAGATTCGCTTAGACTCCAGTAGCCTGCCACATGGTGATGTTTTGGTGCGAACTTGGAATTATTTCGGACTACTCAATTGGAGAACAGTGCAGGCTCTTTGAACCACGGGCACGACTCTTCGCTCGCAGCGCTATGGAATCTGAAAGTTCTAGGTCCGGGAGCTGTTCGCTGTTTTGTCACTTGTCACGGTTGTGCTCTCATCGCTGTAGCATAAAATAATGAGGCGGGTGCGGAAAACTAAAATTTTCTTTCTCAAAGCACAACCACCGGCACCGGCAAGGAGAAACGCACGTTCTCTGACTACATGACTGTACAACTGATACGAGTGTAGTACATGACAAGTCCGTGTGTTGACTAGTTTTGAGTCTTGTGTCAGTTGTGACATGAGTTTGTTGACTGCACTACAGCTAGATAACACACTGCACGCACTGCATGCACGCAGCGCAGAGCGCGTAGACCATGTAGACGGCCGGCTGACGGAAAGGTCCAACTCGGAAACGGCTAAAATACGGTATAACCTCCGGGTTTACCGAGCTGAAAATCACAGGGTACGTAGTGTTTGTAACACTGAATCGAATGGTCTTGGTCCGAAGAAGCTGCGACAAACGGTTCCCCAATCGAACGCGCTCCGAATATGGCCATTTTTGTACACAACTAGATGGTGTGGCTACCTGGCTGCACGTTGTGACGTCATCACCTGGATCTGGGTGATGCGCGCTCAAATTCGCACATGTTCGATTGGGCGTATCTGACGAACCATAAGCCGCAGCCTCCTCGGACAAAGACCATTCGACTCAGCGACCCGAACTCTACGGACTGTGAAATTTTAATTTTTCACCGGACTTCCCCTTTAAGCAGGCTTCCGATTGTGACTTACATTGGTAGCTTTCATACACCTGTTGACAATCTTGGTGTGACAGCGCTTGTGTACGACTACTGTGCATACTGTAGCAGCAGCAACAACAAGAGCAGCAGCAGCAGCAACAAGAGCAGCAGCAACAACAAGAGCAGCAGCAACAGCAACAAGAGCAGCAGCAGCAGCAGCAGCAACAAGAGCAGCAGCAGCAGCAACAAGAGCAGCAGCAACAAGAGCAGCAGCAACAGCAACAAGAGCAGCAGCAACAAGAGCAGCAGCAACAAGAGCAGCAGCAACAAGAGCAACAGCAACAGCAACAAGAGCAGCAGCAACAGCAACAAGAGCCGCAGCACCAGCAGCAACACCATCGCTAGCAACAACACACCAGTTGTATACAATGCACCCTCCATTTCTCCCTCGTGACCGTCGAAAACCTAGACCACTCTATTATCAGGCCTTAATGTCTCAATAATATCAATACACTCATACCTCGCTTATCCGGACTTCGAAGTTACGGGCACTTCAGTCTACCGGGCACTATTTGGGCGAGTTTCAGGGGAAATATTACTACTCTTTTGTCACTTTTCGTAGAAATATTGACGTCATATGCCATATCGATGGCCTTTTCCCAATCAAAATGTATGTGATTCAGAGTTACGGGCACCCTCGAAGTTACGGGCAGTGTCCGGTCCCGAAGCGCCCGGATAAGAGAGGTATGAGTGTAATATCATCATAGTAGAGCGACACATGCAAACTGTCATGTACTTTGTTCGCAGCACTATGGAAGAGCAGAGTAAAGCTGAGCACATACCTTGGCATTGGTAACCTTGCTTTCCAAGCCCCCTGGAATTCAAAACCAGAATGCACACCATCACAAGTCAGACACAGAATGCTCATACCTCATCGCCTACATCGGTGGACCAGGGAGTAATCAAGGCGAAAGTCACCGAGGGTTGGCTTGTCAATGATTGTGTGCTTCCTTTGGCCATTACTGCCAAATCTGAATGGGAGCTTTTGCCCTCTCCCCCAATTCTGACACCAAAACACCAATTCCCCGCCCCCGTCGACTAGTCGTCCCACCTTCCATCCCTTTCTACTTTTAAGAACTTCGTCCCGGGGATGATAACATAACATGTGGCTCTATTACGACTTTATGAGGAAGATTGTAATCTTGAGAATGGAAATTGTCAGCGCAGGGATTTCATCATGTCAAATCGCCAGTGGACCTATACACCAGAGAGGAGCTTACCAGATGAACTCGTGGCAATGCGAGCAGAAGGTCGGCTGTCGGAAGAAGCGAGACATGAACTTGTGTTCATTGACATGGATGATCTTTCGCCGGAGAGCTCCCCGCCTCCGCTTCTGGCGAGGTCGCGCCACAAACGGCTTTGGCTGGGGTATAAAGCCTGTTACATGAAAGTATGCAGCGTACAAAACCCAATCACGTTTCGGATAAAAACGAGGGACAACAGTGTTACGAATTATGACTAACTATCCACCAAAGTAACCAGGCCATTTACAGTCAGCGAGTGTGACAACAAACATGCCGTAGGCTCGCAACATCATCGATCTTCCTTACTTTCCATGATTACATTGGCTCACAATCTGAGTTCATATTCTAATCACTTTATCCTCAGACTTTAAAAGTCATATCTAGTATCTACCTATTGTCCTCACTTTACCACCCCACAAAGTCCTCACTTTACCACCCCACAAAGTCCCCACTTTACCACCCCACAACGTCGCCACTGTTCAGTGTACATTGTTGTGCTTCGTTCACATTATCACCATGTACTGATTTGAGAAGTAATGGTACGAAAGGCCTCATCAGATTTACAACTGGCTTCATCTCTTCGTGTGCTGATATGTTTCCCTCCGACTAAGTCTCTATTATTAGTAACTTGTAGGGCTCAAAACGAATATCCCGAATATTCAAACATTCGTTCGTTTACCTTCGCAGAACGAACATTCGCGAGGTAACGAATATTCGAACATTCGTTTGTTTAGCTTTGCAGAACGAACATTCGCGAGGCAACGAATATTCGAACTGAATTTTTTTTTCCCGATATGCTACTACTCTCGGTACACGGAGTCTGTGTGAGTATGAGCACAGTTCGCTGGCCACGCGCAATGCTTATGTCGGGGAAGATGTGGAGAGCGATCCCCATGTTGATAGTCTCCCAGAGACGAATATTCAGGCCATCGACTTTCAACGTACCTGAGTGACGGCAGCACAGCGCAGCGTGCGCGGAAACCATACGGAGCCATCCGACAGTGCTTCTGGGGCGATGTTGCTCTCAATGGCGAGCGATGCACGGCCACTGAAGTCTGTGATGGCAATAGCATTCGTTTCCTCCCCCGGGCCGAAGTAGACTTTCTTGGCAGTATCATGCCAATGTCGGAACTCTGACGATTTGCTCGAGTTATCAATAAAGAACAATCGTTCGTTAATTAGTGTCAAGAACGTATGATTACTGAGAAATTGTGTTAGTTTCATCCCTATGATTAAGTTCTAACGCCAGGTGTGTACCGGAGAAAGTTCAAACACGGCCATTCCTTGCTTCATTCTCGTCTTGTCAACATGCCTCCTTAAGGAATCTGCTACCTATTACAAATGCTTCTTGGTGCTAGAGCACATGATAGCACATGATAGTCTTTAACAGACTATCAGTCCTGCAGTGATAAAGTAAGACTAAACTTTGTTTCCACTAACCATCGACTTTGTCCTCAACTTGTACAAATAGTCGGATTTTGCCGGTCGGTTGAAGATTGACCTGTACAAAGGTAGCAACGTCATAGAGAGCACAATTCAATACACATGAACATATGTAGTCCACATGTGTCGGGAAACCACGGACACACACGCGCACACACACACACACACACACACATGCACACACACACACACACACACACACACACACACACACACACACACACACACACACACACACACACACATGCGCCCGGTGAACAGCATTTGCATGGGAATGCAGAAAATTAGAAAAAAAGTTCTCACACATTCGCTCCCACTGCTCATCGACTTCCTGTTTCTTAGTCCACCTCTCCTTTTGCAGCACGGTGTGAGTTATCTTCAAAAACTTAGGGGCCATCCGGGGTTACCGATTGTTTTTACAAAAACGAAAAGTTTATAGTATCTTTCAGCCCCAACTCACCCTACATTTTCTGCAGGTAAACCGAATTCCAATAAAACATTGATGTCAATTTTCGACACCCAGAAGTAACTGGGCATTCTCCATCTGCATTCAATGATTACTTTCGAAACGAAAACTTTTCATTTTGAAAATACTATTGGTAGCCTTGGATGGTCCCTTAGACTACAGTGGACTTCTGGACCATTGTATACAATCATGTACACAAGAATATCACCACCAAAACATTGCACGCTGTGCCAACCAACACTGCAACAAGATTCTTAGCTGACCAGCGCACGTGCACACAATATGTGCTGGTCGGCTTAAAGCGCGATGGTATTGGGCACCATGCGACGGAATAGGAAACAATCATTCTAAAATACATGTACCGCTGTACGCTCGCATCTCTCAGCCTATCCGCACCTGCAAGTTCCGGGCACCTCAGCCTATCTGGACCTGGAAGTTCCGGGCACCTCAGCCTATCCGGACCTGCAAGTTCCGGGCACCTCGGCCTACCTGGCACCCTGTGAGGGAGTTTTAGTGGACATACTGTGACTCTTTTCCTTTTTTAATTTTTTTTACAGGAAATGATGCCATAATACCAGATATCTGGGCCCTCCCTATCAAAACGTGCGTGGTTCAGTTACGGATAGTTCGAAGTTATGGCCAGTGCCCGGTCCCGGACCGCCCGGATAAGCACGATATGAGTATGTAATGGTTGGATCGCCATGTCATGCAAGTATCACCAACGATGAATGTCAACCCTCCTAGCAAGTGGAACATTGGGCACCTATTGTATAATAGCTAGCATGTATATTTTGTTATGGGGTGGGAGGGGGTTGACCAATTTCGTTTAAGAAAACATTGATACATGTACACAGCCATAGGAGCAGTGATACACTTGCGACTTTTGCATGTATTATGTCAACATTTTTTTACGTCCTGAGGGGGAGGGGGGAGGGGTTGGGTCCAAACTAAAGTATTTTGTTTGGTGAAAAAAGTTCGATATTCACGGACGGCCCCTCTAAGTATCTAATATTGACTGAGTACGAGGTCAATATCGGACATAAAAGCTGAGTAAAAGACCGAGGTGAAGTCGAGGTCTTTTACGAGGTTTTTTATTTCCTATATTAATCTTGTACGAAGTGAATATTAGATTTATCACGACTAGCCAAAGCATGTGTTCAATCCCTAAAAAGGAGCCAAGTATAAGCAGTCTATATTCAAATATTTATAGGTTAGTGCATGGCAGGGAGGGCCTTATGGCTTGTTAGTGCCCGACAGGTTAGCCTGAGGGCCGTAGGCCCGAGGGCTACCCTGAAGGGCACAAACAAGCCATAAGACCCTCCCTGCCATGCACTAACTATTTTAGAACGAGGTTACATACATTATCTCACTTCCATTATGCTTGTGTACTATTATATTGGATAGTTTTGTGGTTTGTGTGCAGAGAAACTTGGTGTGGTATGAAAGAATATTTTCTTCTGGTAAGTTATGGTAACTCAGCACCACTTACTAAAAGTAGAATGGAAGCAAATGTAATGCTGGGCTCTTCTTGCAAGCTTCATTCTTATTCATAGCTTGTGGAGCTATTTAGGGGCTTTGAGAGCCCCTTGTCCATACCTCTAATGACTTTGATCTTCGGTTTTTATAGGTTTCCGCAGGCTGTTGACAAAGGAAATTCGTACAGATGAAAGAATACGGGAGGCAAAAACCGTACACACTTCTGAAATGCGTAGCTTTTAGTAGTATACCATACATTTTATGCAGAGTTCCTTATCTGCACCGTACTATAATGCATACAGGGAGTTGTACGCACCAGTTTAGAGTATATTCAGCGGGCTTTAACCTTTTGAGCACGCGTGACGTTCTGACACGTCATGACCACTACCACTGTGACACGCGTGACGTTCTAGAACGTCACGAGTCAGTGCGGAACTACATCGATACCGCGTTTCTTCCGTGGCGTGGCGTCGCGCTGTACCGCTGCACAGAGGACTCCTAGGATGTACGAGTACAGTAACAAAAAAATGCGAGTCGCTCCGTACGTTTGAACTGGAGTTACATGCGCGTGCATACATTTCAAAATACCAATTTCGCGTAAAACTACCTTTATGAAAACGGTCATAACTTTTGTAATCTTTGTTGTATTTCCAAAACAAAAACAGTTCTGTGCTCAGGGTACATGAAAGAATCGTTTGAAATCAAGTTTGCTCACATAGAGTGAATTAAAAAAATTTACTGCGTGGCAGAGGTTTTCAATGGGCCCGGGATCAAAAGATTAAACTAATCCAAGGCCCTCGACGCGTCATCAAGAGTAGTAAAATAACGATTGAGCGGGCTTTAAACTCTGATAAGGCCCTTGGCGGGAATGTCGCTGATTGGTCGTTTCCTGGACAACGAGACAGACCTCGTTCTAAAATATAATATGGACTTTCACTGGTTTGAGGGAAAGACATCAACAGGAAAAGTCTGAAGAAAAAATTGACTGTCACCACCAGGACTAGAACCAGGGACCCTCGCTTGTAGCCAGCGATGCTCTAACCACTGAGCTATGGTGTCGTCGTCATCCCAGCAGAGACCGTTCAACATTTTCTTCAGACTTCGTAACTCACACTTCCTGTGAATCCACAGAGGCGGGTGGGACGCAGCCCTCACTGTAACCCACACACTTCACGTACAAACTAGCACGCGGGGAGCCCCAAGACCCTGAGGGAAAGACATCAACGCCGGGAATAATATAGACTGCTTATATTTGACTCCTTTTTTATATTATAGCCCTAAGGAGTGAAATATTCAGAAATATTTGACTGCTTAGGTATAGCAAAATCTATCGCTCGCTAAGACGAAGACTGAACATTTCCCTGCAAGTAAGCCGACTGTGCCCACAAAATATCAATCTTTCTTTTTACGTGTGCATCGCTTCACGGTGCTAGTAATATGGAGTAGAATTAAAATTGATCACTCCTTTCCTAGTTATCCTACCTGGGGCAGGACATACACGGCCTGCTATGGAGTAAACATTCACCACTCTCTACTCATTTATCCTGACTGGGGCAAGCTGGGCTCAGAGAGGGAGAACGACCGGCCGGTAACCGTCTTCGCCTGTCCACAGCCTACTCCTCAAAGCCCAGCCCAGCACGGACAAGGTTCTGGATGCAGGATCGTTCAGAACGACTTCACGGCGATGTACATAATTTCTTTGTCGTTAGTCTGGCCCCGGAAGTGTTGGCAATGGACCCTTGTCAACAGTGAAGTAAATTCTTCCTGAGAAACGGACTTCGAGATTCATTGCGGCCACACAGGACACAACACACACACCCACACTCTGTCTCGAGGTGCAGATACACAAGGTTGTAACACTGTACAGGTCAAAAGTGGGACTGTTCACCGAAACTATTACTACGACCGGGATAATATGCAATGACAATCGACAAGGTCAGTGGGTCACGAGTGACGACCATCCGAGTAACACAGAAACAAACCAATCAGTTTTTCCTACGCAACACAACCAAGGAACTCCAATTAGTACATGTAGTAACAGACTGTTACAAGCGGGTGCACGAAGCGCCTTCTTCGAGAGGAATTGCTTTTTTACATTGCACTTCACACTTCGTCACAGTATCATAGTATACTGCAGGTGTACCTGGTCGGCTGGTGTAGACCTACCCTCCAGCCAGGCCTCCGCCTTCAGCTTAGTAATACAGGACTACTACAGCCTCGAATAGTACCTGAGTTCTATATAATCGTAAACAGGTTTCAAAAACACAGCCAGTGCCAGTGCCAGTGCCAGTGCTCCTGTGTCCAACTAGTAGTAGCAGTAGCGCAGTTAAAGGGGAAGTATACCCTAAAATCAAATTTTCACCAGTTGTAGTCTTCGGGGTGCTGAGTCGAATGGTCTTGGTCCGAGGAAGCTGAGACGCTCCCTTCCTACTTGAATCCCAATCGAACTCGCGCACTTCCACCGAAACTGGGTGACTGCGCCCTACTAGATGGGGATTTGTATGCAAAATGTCACTAAAAGCGCCATTTCGTTCTTATAAAAGCACGGATGACCGCGATTGGCCCATATGTTGTAGTCTTTTGGACGCTGAGTCGACTGGTTTTGGTCCGAAAAGGCTGCGATGCAGCGTTCCTCCTTTATTCCCAATCGAACATGGTTGAAGAAGCGGTCACGTGCTCCTGGGTGCCCAAATCACCTGGTCACCGCGCCAGCAGGCGACAACTTTCACACCAAGGTTCAACTCGAGTTCAACTCGAGTGACAGGACTGCACCCAAAAAAGGTCAAACAGGCTAGTAAGTTGTACCCTGCAGGCACGGTGACCAGGCGACTGGTGTACGCACGAGCACGTGACCGCTTCTTCAACCATGTTCGATTGGGAATAAAGGAGGAACGCTGCATCGCAGCCTTTTCGGACCAAAACCAGTCGACTCAGCGTCCAAAAGACTACAACATATGGGCCAATCGCGGTCATCCGTGCTTTTATAAGAACGAAATGGCGCTTTTAGTGACATTTTGCATACAAATCCCCATCTAGTAGGGCGCAGTCACCCAGTTTCGGTGGAAGTGCGCGAGTTCGATTGGGATTCAAGTAGGAAGGGAGCGTCTCAGCTTCCTCGGACCAAGACCATTCGACTCAGCACCCCGAAGACTACAACTGGTGAAAATTTGATTTTAGGGTATACTTCCCCTTTAATGATTATGTGGTGGCGGGAGCGACGCGATACATTTCGACCACCGACTAGAGCAAAATGTCCCACAAAGGTACAATCGACAACCGCTTCGCAGCAGCAGCAGCAGCAGCAGCAGCAGCAGCAGTAGCATGCAGTCGCACAGCTGGTGTTGATCAACCACTACTAAACTGCTACATGACTGTACGTTTAATACACATACGATCACGACAGACATGGCGCAGATAGAACTCGACAGCACTTACCCAAATATCGTCCGAGTTGACCTTGAGCAACTCCTCAAAGAACACCTTTCCATTGGCCACGAACTGATTCGGCGGTACTGTCGTCTTGTGAAAGACGGTGAATTCCAGAGATTCGGCATCACGCACGCACGACTCGATCTCTTCCCTCCAAACAGGATCACATGTTTTGTTTCTTGCCGCTGTCTGTCCAACTGAGTAGCCGTCCACACATATCTCTAGGTACGGGTCGATGCTGTTCAGGACAAGGCCGCCGGGTAGAGGTACACTGGCTGGCAAGTCCGTGGCCTCCACGGCCGTCAGCACGAGTCGGCCGGAAAAACGGACAGGCTCGGTGACGATTAGCGACGGGCGCGGACTCCGTGGCGGAGCTGGGATAGAGCTTGAACTCTCTTCATTTCCGCCCGTGCCAGTGGTGTGTCCATTTGCCTGCTGCTCGGCTGAATCCCCGTTCGACGACATGCTACCTCCAAACTAGGGTGCTGAGGTGGCAGAAACGGAAGTCCGCAGGGAACAAGATACGAGCGGCCGTAGCGTTTTACCCAGCACTCCACGGTGGCCACTCGCTAGCTAGCGACCCACCCCGCCGCTGCTAGGCTGCTCCAGAAGGAGGCAGATACCGTACCGGGGGATCCTTCTCCAGACTAAAGAGTAAAGTAAGTTATTGTACCAGCGGAAATGAAACTTGTTCGCGATTTCCACCACAGTTGAAGAAGATAAGTCAGTGTCGGTGACGAAAGTCAAGGTGCGAACTGCACAACTAGTTTTTTAGAGCGATGGAACAGCGCCAGTTAGCACTAGCAGCAAGTGGCCTCGTCAGTGTCGACAGTGCACATCATGGTGCACGCATGTAGATCTACCATGTGTAGTGTAGATCTCCTGACTGTCTGTAGATCTACTGCTATGCTGATGCAGCGAGATGAGAGATACGAATCTGTAGTCAGTGTAGTAGCCTGTGTTACGTAGGATCCTCACAGACCTCAGCTAGATCAGCGTAGACCTACGAACCATCACCTGATCACGATCCGTCCTTGACTTGAGGCTGAGCTGCCGCAGCAGCTGACTGACCAGTTTCGAGTGGTGTGTGAAATTTTGAGTGACATTTCCCCTCAATCTACCTACAATGCTACATAATAATAGGTATAACACTGACTAGTACAGTCGGGACTACAAATCAATCATGTAACCACATACAATCATACATACAATCATACAGAATGACCAAGGCCATTGTTGTAGATCTACACACAATTCACCGCTAAAACACCGACTTCGTGTAAACACTGTGTGGGATCCCCCGGGAGTGCACTAGTACAGTGTGGTGCTGATATTTTCTACAAGAAGACCTTACTGTATTATGATTGTGTATTCTGTCACTACAATGTCGAACGACATGACCGTCAACATATGGCCCAACTTCTGCGAAAACCAGGCTTAGGGTGAAAATCATTTTTTTGAGAAAAATGATGTTTTGTAAAAAGGTTGTGTCGCGTCGACGCTCGAGTGCAGTGAAGTGGAACAAAAGAGAATCTCGCTTGTTTGAAGAAGTAGCAGTCATGGCAGGAAGGGTTTCAGCAGTCAGGGAAGTCAAAGGGCTTCCGGTAGAATATTCCCTGCTACTCCTCTAGTCACAGCGAAGAGTTTTTGAGCTGATCGAACGGATTCCATCTCCTTCACTCAGGAATGGCGAAATTTCTGCGCTAGCTGCTGCTTGCGGAAAATGGTGAAGAAATCGTCTCCAGTTAGAGTCGTGATGGCGATAGCGAGGAGAACCTGGACGACATCGATCCAGCCAATCGAAGTATGGAGATACTAGCTGTTTCTGGGCCTCACGCAAAGGGAACACGCGCAGCAGAGCTCATACGTTTGCAGCAAGTTCACGAGGAAAAAGGCTTGAAGCGCAGTGTGAAAACTGTTTTGAATTGAAGTCCTTGGCGATGAAGTGCTACTGAATGCCAGGCGAATGAGCGAGCAGATTGAGAGGCCTCCACTCGAGACTTTCCTCGCTGGACAGCTAGCTGCCAGGGATTGTACGGCGTGCCGAGATAATCGCGAGATTTCACTTGCTGGTCAGCACCAAGCAGACACTGCAGCACGCCAGCACACTATGCGCATACTATGAACAGTGGAACAGTTTGAAAGGCCGTGTTCTTTCTGGTTTCTGAACAGTTGTACTAGATTTACCCTTCAAAAGGTGCCATCTCGACTGGAGTCGGGTTTCCTTGTGGTGTGTAGCGCCAGAGCATGCCAGTACATGTATTCAGCCCCAGAATGTGCTGAGTGAGGAGCAAACAAAACATGCAGAACTGTGCATGGCGGCTACAGCCTGCAGCACCAAGAGGCCACAACAGGCCTGCCCCCACATGCCTACCTTGTCATGTCACCTAAACAAAAATCATCCATGTCTCTTCCTTCACTCTGGTGGATCTCTCTTCATTTCTTTCCTGTGATAACAATTTTTTTTTTTTTTTGGATTTTTTAACACAATACCCTGGTGTGTTTGAGATACTTTTAATACCACTATGAGTCGACACACACCTGTAATATTTTGTTTCCTGAACTCCCATGCCCAGTAGAAGCTGAAAATGGGAAAAAGTCATTTTGTGAAATTTCACCCTAAGCCTGGTTTTCGCAGATTCTGGGCACGCAGTGTGTGCATGTTTACAAAATAATTGCATCATGTCACGTGATCACGTCAGTCATCGCTGTTTCACGTTTCACTTTTCTATCGAGGATACGTAGCTCACAAACATCGTTCAGCACCACTTCACTCGTGTTTACAATCTCAGACTCAGAGTGGAGATTGTTTGGTTGAAAGCCTTCTTTAGAAAAAAAACAAAAAAAAACAAGTGCCTGACCAGATTCATCTCGGCTCTGACCCAGTGACAGCGATGGCTCAAGCCAAGGGTAGGAAGTAGGCTCAGTGCAAGCAGCCGCTTCGCCGATTGTCATCCCTATACCTAGTACTAGTACAGTCGTCCCTCTCTAATCCGGCACTTTATAATCCAGCACCCTCGATAAACCAGCACAATTTTCAGTAGCCAAAATGTCCTCTTCATGCACATTGCAGCAGTAAATCAGATTTGTTAATCCAGCACCCTCCCTAATCCAGCAGATTTTCGTGGCACAAATGCTGCCGGATTATAGAGGGACCACTGTAGTAGATTCTACACTGTAGATCTACATGTACCTGCAGTGGCAGTGGCGATCGGCCTTCAATTTTATGATTACATGTACAATCATCATGTATACTACTATTCACTAGCTTCTATGGCATGACTGTACTACAATGTCATGAGCTTTCACATTTCAGAAGAATACCTGAAATACCATTGATGACACTGTACTAATCACCGCATTTCATGCCACGAAGATTCCTGTGAGAGTGGCCCACTGTCTGAGCACTGAGTCTGTACACTGTAGTGTAGGCAGTTTGGACTGGAGACAGCAGTCCGGCAGTTTAATAATTTCACCCAACTAACTGTTACTTCAACTTTAAAAGTTCAAGTTCAACTACCTACAATTGTACTAGTCTTGTAGCTGCCTAGACTAGAGAGTGAGTTGGCGGAGCTTTACATTGGCCCTATTATTTTTTTGGCATTTTGCGCAGAGACTCAGATGTAAATGTAACTACTTTGTAAAGTCTTGTACTGTTGTAGGCCTGAATCATCAGTGAATGGGTTAGAAGATGTATGCAGTAACATGTACATGTACATGTACATAGTCATTGTAAGATCCTACCCTGAATGGGCTAGAAGATGCAGTAACTAACATGTCATGTACATAATCATTGTGTACCACGTTGTTTGCCGCACGGTGTACAATGTCAATGTCATGATCTTTCACTACCAGCCACTATAAAGTACAGTCGTCCCTCTCTAATCCGGCACTTTATAATCCAGCACCCTCGATAAACCAGCACAATTTTCGGTAGCCAAAATGTCCTCTTCATGTACATTGCAGCAGTAAATCAGATTTGTTAATCCAGCACCCTCCCTAATCCAGCAGATTTTCGTGGCACAAATGGTGCCGGATTATAGAGGGACCACTGTATAATAATAATAATCAATACAGCGCAGTATGTCAGTTACCATGGTTACGGCCCAGACTCACTAGTCACTACATGATCACAGATGTCATTGTAGATTCTACACTGTGACATAATAGTAACGTTATGACTGAAGTACTGTTTTAGGTGTTACTGCCACGTTTCTATTTTGGTTGCATTTCACAGGGCGTGCAACTGTGCACGAGTGTGCGGATTCGAGTGAATCTTTCTTGTTTGGCATAACCATAACTACTACTAGTAATTACTTGGCATTACATTATAGCTACAGGCACAGTCATGTACATGTATGCGCGTATGTAGTGCACGTAACCGGCGCTGTCCAGTACCACTTACATGTACATGTACATTGTACTACAGTGTAGTATCTTTGCCGCTTTGCGATGCCAGTACCACTTATAAATACGCCGACAGTTTCTTTTGAAACTCGGATGTTGAGCCATAACTAAAATGTGGAAAGGAAAAGGACATAATGGATACGAGTTAAGAGTAACTCTCCATCACTGTAACTGGATACTATTATACAGTCAGAAAGTGCAATAACTAGGCACAAAACTGACAAGAGTACTGAGACATTCGACGTCCTGACACCTAGCTTCAACACATCTCCGTAGCGCTAACCGACAGCCTTCCAACTTGGAAGGTTCAAGGTTATGGAAATACCAAAGAGGGGAAGGCAAGCGCAACGAAAACGAACAAAAAGCTACAGTCCCAACGGAACAAAGAATGTCGATTGTTACTGGACGATGACGAGACCAGTACGATATTTGACAAAGCGGTCTAACTACAATTCGAAGCAGCAAAGCAGCACACCACCCAACTTGGGTGGGTCATAAATATCAAAGATAAGTAAAGAAAGAGGAAGCTTTCTTTACTATTGCACTGCACTTGTCAGCCACATACGTACATATAGTCAGTGTAGTGTTGGTACGTACATGTAGTAACTAAATTCTTAGATTGACAGCATGAAACAAGGTGGAGGGCACTGTGTTCGGAAACAGTGACCTTACTACAACCTTCCGCGGTTGGCAGAGCCCCGGTCTCTGCGGACCATTTGAACCATAATTTATGGGTATCGCACCCGGTTCTGACCCTCATTATGCTAGGGGGTAATAGGAGACTACTCCTGATGTCGTCTTGTTTTCTTCGCTCTTTTCTTTAACTTGTATAAAGACTTCTTTTTCTTTTTCTTCCAACTTCTGCCCATGGCGTCCTTCTCTTAGCTCGTCAACTGTCAACAGTTTTTTTGTCATCACCATGCCACTGTCGCGAGAAGGTGCTCTCTGTAGACGGGGTTGGTGATGTCCCGACGTGGCCATGGGTAGGCCTTCACCACGTCGGAACACCCCGGCTACACGTTGGTTACCTCCACTCGTTAACCTGCCTGCTGTTGACGCCGCCACGTAAACTAGTACTGGTCAAGAAAGCTTGAATTTTATCTACAAACCTGAGCAACTGCTTCAATTTTGCTACACGTTGGTTACCTTCATCAGTACCGCTTGGAAATAACTCGTATGTTGTTGATGTTGTCACGTAAACTTGAACTGTCAAAAAAATTGAATTTCATCTTCAAACCTAAACAACTAGTACAAGTGCCTCAATTTGATCATACAATTGCGTGAACTATAACGAGGTTTATCTAATACTGGGTTTTTTTAACCAGTGTTAGGTTACACTTTTCTCAAGGTTTGGAGACTCCACTGTAGCCAA